ATTATTATATTTAAATATTAAATGAATCACAAATTTAAATAATACAATGAAGTATTATATAAAGATGGTAAAAATAAAACTATTGATTACAACATCACATTAACAAGGGAGGTTATTACTCATCTGATAAGAAAACTATCCCTGTCGTTAAGTATGCACAGCGGTTATCAGATCAATAGTATTTAAATTGGAGATAATGCCGGAGAATGGAAAAGACTTTATCAATCTAAAAAGTAAGGATGCATGATCTTTACTTTTAAGTTCGAAAGGTTGGTTTTCTAAGATTATTAGAATTGCATGATGACTGAAGCCAACCAGCCAATGTTACATGAACATTCAAGACGGTAATATGTATACGCTATTTAGATTTATATTTAAAAAAAAAGTGCACACTCCAACTTGAGGTAACCAGGAAGCGGTCTAAAAGAAGATGTCTATCACGATCTTACTTGATTTTTATCAAAATATAAAGTATGTGATAAAATGTTCTACGACTTTTTTTTTATTAAGTCGCAAAATCACAAAACATAAGGTTGTGAGACTAATTGAGTTTGATCAGTTTCTTATCAGTTTGCCTCAATAATTGTTGGTTTATTTTGTTTGTTTCGACTTTGCGTGATGGCAAGAAAGATATTTTGATAATCGTTCATAGCCGTGAACTTGTTGGACCATTTTTTTTCAAGCAGTAAAGCATCGAAACTTAATTATTGGCAGCATATTGGGTCAACCACAGAAATAGCAAGAAACATGTGGATTTCCTCCAATATTTAGGACAAAAAAAGGGGGGAGGGGGGGTCTTTGGTCTTTGAAAGTGACGAGGCCAATTTTCCCTGGATTTATAAATTTTACTCATAGGGTCAAAATCTAAAATTGGTCTGCACATTGAAAATTGAAGATGACGTTATATATTGTAACAATGTATTACATATTCCCCTGAAATCAAATACTATTCAGTGCTATATGTTTCTGTTGAAAGCATTGAAAGGGTTAAAGCCTAATTCTCAATCACTTTTTTTTTTTCACTCACAGGTCCCAAAATGTGTTTTTCATATCTTTATCGTATTTGAAATGTAATATCAAAAAGTTTAAATTATTTAAAACATCTTTTTTGTAATTTTAGTTCATTTATATGTTTGGGAGTTTAGTGTGACGTCCATTTTCATTGAACTAGTACATATTTTTGAGTATGTGCCAGTTGAAGCCCGCCTCCGGGTGCGTGATTTTCTCGCTGTCTTGAAAACCATTGATGGCTTTGGTCTATGTTTTGCTTATTGGTCGGGTTGTTGTCTCTTTGACACATTCCCAATTTCAATTCTCAATTTTATTTTAACAATTTTACACATAAATTTCCATAAACTCAAAATGCTATTCAGCGTTACACGTTGCATGCATGCTGTTGAAGATACAAATTTGCTTTTATATGTTTTTTTTTTTCAAATTTTGCTTCGAAGGCCGTCGATAGCCAAAAAGAATAAGTGTCCGAAAGACAATAAATAGCTTTACTTCTAACACAATTTTGGTTTTGTTAACGATGATCTTCTTATACGTTTACGGAATAAATACTAAAAAGCAAAAATTTGCAAAAATCGCGATTTAGAGCTTTCTTTAGGCATTTATAAGTTTATGATACGTTTAAAATTAAGCTATCATATTGTGAAACCCTTTTGGATTTAATACTATGAATCTAAGTAAACTTTAAGATTGATAGACTTTTTGTAAATGGCCCTGGTTTGAAATAAATCAAGGGGTAATCGGCTCTACCGTTTTTGAATGTTTTTGACTTTTACATCGGCTAACCAAAATTAATTAGTTTGTATCCGAAAGACAATACATATAATAGCTTCACTATGTTTATTTTTATTTTATAGAGGTTTGGTTTGGTTAACTATTTTATTTTCGTTTATTCATTTTGACGATAAATACTTAAACGTTGCCAAAATCTTTCAAGAATTTTCCGGTTTGGACTATATGCAGACTCTTTAGGCGTTTAAAGTTTTTAAATCTGTTTAAGAATTACCCATTAAATTGTTAGAACCTTAGAGAACATACATTGGGTTGCGATACTTGTACAAAGAAATTTGGTTAAAGATTGATATACTTTTTGCCAATTTTTCTCTATTCTTTATATTCTAACACCGCATTATTCATTTTTCTTTATTTTTTGGTCCATTTTCTCTATTCTTTATATTTTTTGCCCATTATTCTCTATTCCGTAACCCTCCTTCCGCCACCTCTAGTATATGTCACTACGTTGCCTTCATAAATGAGTAAAAGTCATCACGAATAGGACCCGAATGGCAAAATAATTGAATGCTAATCCCCATTTTGAATTGTGAACTTTCGGAAATTTGGTTTTCAATCAAACGATCTTAATAAAAAAAAACAGATTATCGTCGTGAATGTTCGTGTAAAAGTACTAATACTGACAGATGGACCTTGGTCATCAGTTCTAATCATCTTAGATTACTAACCTTTCAAAACTTAAAAGTAAATATCATGCATCCTTATTGTTCAGATTGGTAAAGTCTTTTCCATTCGCCGGCATTACCTCCGATTTAAATACTATTGATCTGATAACCGCTGTGCATACTTTAACGACAGGGCTAGTTTTCTTATCAGATAAGTAGTAACCTCCCTTGTTAATGTGATGTTGTAATCAATCGTATTTTTACCATCTTTATATGATATTTCATTGTATTATTTAAATTTGTGATTCATTTAATATTTAAATATAATAATTTTATATTTTATTATAGATAAACACAAGGAAATTTGAAAGTCTTTGATTCATTAATCACCTTTGTTCAAATCATAAGTCAGGCGGTCTATTCTGTCTACCTTAAGTAGCAAATACACCGGGGTATCAATGGCTATGAACGAGAAAATGAAAACATTTTAAAACATAAAACGAGAATTAAATAGAACAAAATACAGAAATTGAATCCAAATATCGATTTTTTTTTCTTGTTTAGTGAAATCAAAAACGAAAAACGAAAACACTTTTGATTTTCATTTTGGTTTTTGAAAAATCAAAAACGAAAAATGAAAACACTTTTGTTTTCCGTTTTGGTTTTTGAGAAATCAAAAAATGAAAAACAAAAACCCTTTTGTTTTTCATTTTGGTTTTTGAGAAATGAAAAACGAAAAATGAAAACACTTTCGTTTTTCGTTTTTTGTTTTTGATATCTCAAAACGAAAAACGAATGGACGCAAATATACACGGACCGTTATTGTCTTCTATTCGGTAATTTCCGTATATAGTGACCTTAAAAATAAGACTTCTCGTTAGAACTTCGGCCACCGCACAGTGCAAGTTCGAAGGAAAACCCGTAATGAAAAAATGTAAACATGCGTGTACTGGAAGGTAAATAGTAATACTTGATTCTTAAAGAACAAGTTAAATACACCATATCATTTAAAACTGTTATGGAAAGTTAAATTAACAAATGTGAACGCACAGAAAAAAAATAACCTCTCCGTATCAATTCACTTATATCTCATGTGCTCCGTGATTCCGTGTTGATACATTGTAGTTATCAATGTCACAATTCTGTTAACTTCGGCAACATAATCGAAAGTTATTTAGCTTGCGATCAACAATCACTGAATGAAATATTATTTGTCAACAATACGTTTTAGATTGATAATAAATATAAAAAATAAAAACGTGCATAATGGACTTAGTTTAGTATATGCATGCATTGGTTCAATAATTTCCTTAACATTATAATTACAAGAATCTGGTTTTATATGACTTTAATAAGCAGTTATACATATAAGGACGCATCAAAAAGTGTTACATTATGATACTAAACAACATATGTATAAGTACGTAAGGTTGCAAAATGTCAGGTTGATTTGGGTACAAAACCACTCCCCTTGATAACTGTGTAATTTAAATAATTTACCTGAGTGTAATAAATTCCCCCCTATTTTTCTACCTTAATGATTTTATGTTTTAAAAGAATGTAATTAATAAGTTTTTTGATAATTATTATGCAAATATTAAAATTGAATATAATTTGCAAAATTAATGCAAAACTCATACATAATAAATCCAAATTTATTTGACAGGTGTCTGTTACCCAACTGAACAAATCCAACAATCTAAAACATGATAGTACATCGACTGAAATCTGTATACGAACAAGCCTTCTCTACTCATGTTGGTTATATTAAATAAATGAAATATGGTTAATGTACTTAACATTTGTCTTAACAACACTGAAATATTTACAAAGTCATGCATCTTCAATTTTATTACAATATAAAAATAATGAGATGTGGTATGATGGCCAATGAGACACCAACCCGCCGAAATTCAAATGAAGTAGATGTAAGCAATTATAAACAACCGTACGTCCTTCAAAAATGAGAAAAAAAACATAATGATCATTAAGTATAATCAATTTGAAATGTGTTTTAATACTTGTTTAAATGTATGTTTTCGACCGTTGTAGCACACTACCCGATGGATACCCGCAGTAAAAATATGTTTTCTTTGTTTGTTTGTTTTACATACACAAACATTGATGGTTAATGTGATAAAGAGAAAAAAGTAAGCATTTACAAATGATCATATCTTTAAAAAAACACGTAACACATTGGAACCTTACGAAATATACCAAATAAATGAGAAATAATTCGTATAAAACATCAAAAGATAGTTTCTATACAGTACAAACCTTCGTTAGTTTTTAACATCGAAGTGATCATAATTGTCAGATTCTGATTTACAGATATGAATCGTTGAATGGTCATAAGTGACATCTGAATCAATTATGATCGGAACATGGTCATACACTTTCACGGTGTTATCTTCCCGATTCTTTACATTTCTTAAATGGTCGTAGTCTGCGTTATCTGTGTAAGGGTCCATTTCACCTGGGTTTGATATTGGTTTTGCCAGGCAATAGTCATCAGATCTCATTTCGTCTGTTAAGGAATTTGAATTTTGTTGATAGCCGATTTGATTTGTTTTGTTATTTTTTATTTGAACATCATTGTATCCTGGATTTGCAATACAATTATTTGTTTTCTCAGTATGATTGGATGCATCGAAAACGGCAGAAACAATCCTTGAATATTCATTTTCAACTTCTGCTGCTTTTTCTCTACGTAAATTAGTATCTGATAGCGGCTTTGCAAACGAGTATGGACCTAATGTTACATCTGTTTCATGATACTGACAGTATGAATTCCTTTCATGTGCACAAACATTATTCTTAAGTACATCTCCTTTGCTGCGTTTTTCATTAATTTTCGGCGTTTTAGACATTAATCTGAAATAATGAAATGATAAATTCACATTGCAACGATATAATACAGACCTTTAACATTTGATTAATAGTCCATGTTTGTTATCTGTGCATAAGTGTTTCTCCTTTCAAGTTTTGTATACAGATTAGACCGTTGGTTTTCCCGTTTAAATGGTTGTACACTAGTCATTTTTGGGGCCCTTTATAGCTTGCTGTTCGGTGTGAGCCAAGGCTCCGTGTTGAAAACCGTACTTGACCTATAATGGTTTACTTTTAAAAATTGTGACTTGGATGGAGAGTTGTCTCACTGGCACTCATACCACATCTTCTTATTTATTGAATATTTTACATTTGTTTATTGGTGGCATTTCATAATGCTCATATATCACCATAAAAGACATAGCGGAGTGATGTGTTGTTTTCATATGTAACCATGGTAGGCACTCTGGTAACATTGACATATCTTTTTTTTTCTAAGTGAACCATGATTATACTGATTGATTGATTGATTGATGTTTAACGCAACTTTCAGCACTATTGTGCATTTTCATGCGGTAAGTTTCAATTGGCAGATGAAGCCGGAGTGTCCGGAGAAAACCACCGACTTTCGGTTGGAAACCTAACAATTCTTGTCAATTATGATTTGAGTCGAGCGCACTTGTAACGTTTTGGATTCGAATTTACAACCACAGTGTTGACAGCATTCGACTACTAAGACCACTAGACTAGGCCCGACGATCCCCGATGCATATAGGCCATTAAAATTAATGCAATTGCAAATTATTTTCTAGCAAACAATTTATTGTATTTGTTTGGTCATACACAATATTTATTAGATTTTTTTTACGTTCCCTTCAAATACAAAATACAAAAACATACAAAAAAAAACCAAACAAACAGCAAGACATTGTAGCAATTATAAGTGAACTAGATAAATTCATCATGGGTTATAATTGTGTTCGCCAAACTATTAATTAACAAATGATACATACCTTCTCCTATAAATAATCACAATTACAACTACTGCAACTACTATCACAAAAGTAGACGTTAAGGTTCCAGCAATTATACCTACATTAAAATATATTTCTTATAAGCATAGCAGTACAATAAAATGTAAAAAAAACTCGTAATTGATTTTTTTTTCCAAAAGGGAATTGTGGTACTTTTAGATGACGCAAATAGGAATTTGAGTCTGTGTATCTTTAAAAGAGATACTAGTTTCTTATGATTAGATAAACTATAATCCCCTAGTGTTGATCCTTGTAGTTGCATTGCAATAATACAACAATGACAGTAATTTTACCCCCCCCCAAAAAAAAGTGAGAATAGAGAATACATAGTATCCTATCTTTTTTTGGTTTGTAAGTGAGACGTATTATTTTTCTTGGTGAACCAATCATAGATATAAAACGCAAATACTCTGCCTAAGCAGGTTAAACTGTTAAAAACTAAATTGGTCAATGAGCAATGATGTTACATCTATTCTAAAGGCTCAAATGTTGCTAGTCAACTATACAAATTTTGTTTTGCATACAGAAAAGACCCCAAACAGACCTCTTTTAAGCTTGTTATTTGAACCAGAGATTAAGATAATTTTGATCTTCCTTCACTCTACTGTATTCCATAACTTTAAGCTACTAAATGAGGAGTTATGCATGGCAAGTCACTTCGAAAACATAAACAAAAACTCCATCCATAATTGCTTGAGAGGAAATCCTGAAAATCATATGCTTGAAGAACGCTTATTTGAAATCTTAACAACTTAACTGGATACCAATAATACAATAGCGTTCTTATGTTTGTTCGTCTTCAAAATGTTCCCGAAATTTTTTTACACCTACTAGCTTTCACTTTGTCCCCAATTAAGACGGGTATCTATAGTACCTGTGAATCTATCTGCCCTAAGGACAGTGTGACAAATCTGTGCAAACAAATACACTCCAAAGATCTATTAGATATCTTGCACGCTAACTTGCTCTTCACGTGCAATTGTAAAAAAATACATATGATTTTTCACCATAAACACCAATGTTCTGAATGTGAAACTATATATAAAAGAGTTTTGTTCTAAACATAAGAATGACCTACTTATGATACATATACATTGTTTTAGGAAAGAACAAGTCATAATTTGCAAAAAACACACTTTAGTCCAAACAAACAAATTAAGGTTTTATGGACGCCATTATCTTGCGATTGACTGTTATGGAATATTTGGAACCACAGACATTGTTTCAGTTGTCGTATTTACTGATTCGATCTCTTTTCTTCATCATCAAGTCAGCGGTGTGATTTGTCCTCGAATCAAGATATGCAAATGGCAACAATATAAAAATAGGGAGATGTGGTATGATTGCCAATGAGACAACTATCCACTAAAGTTCAAAGTCAAATGCGGTTATTATAAGCAACCGTACGGCCTTCAACAATGAGAGAAAATCCACACCATATAGTCGGCTGTAAAGTCTGATACAGGAATTGCTTCCTCTTTTGAAGCACATGCCTTAATCCTTGGTATTTGGTGCAGTTCGTGTTCAATCTTCAGTTTTGTTTTCAGTAATTTGTTGTTTTTGCCATTGTGTTGTCTGTTTTATTGGAAAAAAAATAATGAAAAGAAAACTTTTCGAACTCTGCGTTTTTTTAACGGTATTCTCCTCAATTGAAATCATACTTATATGAGTTTCGTTTTATATACGTATATCGTTAATGTTCAACTAGACATGTTTCGGTCCTTCTGGGTATGCTCTTTAAACTAATGAAGTCGTTATGCAAAACTGTGAACAAAGCCTTTGTCGAAAGTGGTATTTACCATTTCTTGACAATGAAACAACTCTCAAGAAAAAATGAATAAGATGCAATATAAGGAATGTCAGTTTGCCTTCGTTATGATTAACAGTTTATATGTATGACATATTTACCATTTATACCATTTGTCTGTTTGTCTTTTTATTTTTTAGCCATGGCGTTGTCAGTTTATTTTCGATCTATGAGTTTGACTGTCCCTCTGGTATCTTTCGCCCCTCTTTTATACGACACTACTTAACAATCATGTTGTCATATTTAATAATATGGTCTTTTGGTATATCTCGGTTTAATTTGTTTTATGCAGTGCTTAAAAATCCCTTTTCCTTAATATATTTTTAAAAATCCCAATGTAAATTGGACTTTCATAGAAATGATTTAAGCCATTACTTTTTTGCTTGATAAAACGTATCAATGCTTATGTTTGTTTCAGAAATGAAATATACTAGTGATGTGTGATTCAGCTTCTGACGATAACTTTGTTCATATAACTTTTAGATTTAAAAGTTTTTGTACCTCCTCATGCAAAGTAGGCCGTACATAGATTTAGCTACATGTACATTTATCATTTAGGGTCCCTGTCGGTATTATAACCCTTAAGATTTCCATGTATCATGTGCTTTCCAATGTTTTGGTTTGGGCGCTCCATGTGATATAAATCCAGCAAAAATGCTTTGGACGCACGTAATTATGAAATGCTATTTTTATTTCATATCTGCCTCCTTGGCTTTATAGACCTATTGTTAAAGACTCAAATGACACTCATGTTGTTAAATTACGTCGTTTCGTATTTACACACGATCATTTATTACCTTACTGTTCATGACTTTTTTTTTATAAGACGCACGTGCATGAGAACCTATATTTATTTAGACGGCATAATTTTTTTCATTAGCAGGTTAATGACTCTGAGCTTGCTCTCAGGGAATTTGAGAACTATCCAATACCATGAACAAAGTTATTTTGTGTTTGTGTAACCCAGTCTACTACTTTTTTTAAGTTTTGTGTTTTTCCTGGTGGTTTTAATTTGTTTCTTTGTTTATGCTTATGTTTTAATACTAATCGGCACTTGAATAGTCGTTTCATCTTTAATTTTATAGATTGTGTCCTATTCCAGATTATTTCATTTTGACTAAGTTGAGATTCGCATGGCGAATGATGCATGCATAGCAGAAAACGCTTTCATTGTCGACGCATCCGGTTTCGCTCTTTTAGGAGTTCAGGCGATTCCCTCAGATTGTGTTTGTATCCTTGATTTGGCTTCTTAGCCGATTTATCAAATTTGGTTAGAACTATCCAAACCTGTTTTATGTTAAAACTGTCCAAACTTTTTCTGGGGTATAACTGTCCAGAACTGTTTTTAGACTAAAACTGTCAGAAACTATTCCAAAGGTGTCAGAAAACATTTTCTGAAACAAAACTACTAGTAAATCAAAGTCTGATATCTTTCTGATAAACAATGTGCCCGATGTCATCCTAGTTTAAGAAGTCACTGTTTTACCTTGATAGGTTCAATGGTTATTAAGACATGTAAAACTCCAAAACTAAGTCGCATTTTGAGACCAATAATAAGCGAGAAGAAGAAAGACAGATTTTTTAGTACAAAAATAGGATATATTAGTCTGTGCAAACCTATTTCATAGTAGAAGCAAACCCTCTTGATAGCATACGACTATGATTAAATAATCAAGTAATGCACTAGTCCGTATTGTAACTGTATCTTTTATTTCAATTTTAATGATATTGTTGCGATCCATATCATCTCCTAAAAACTAATGATTCAACGAGATGATATTCTAAAGCGGAACAATTGCTCTTCGAGAATGAATCTCCCGTATGATGTATACTGACATACTTCACGCATACAACATAATACGTAAGAGACAATTTCCAAAGAAAGACATGCTTATATTTTTTTTTCTATTTCTTCGCGCGACATCTAGCCAATCATTCATCTCAAAACCGTGCTAGGAACCGTCTTGACCTAGTAGTAAAGTGTGAGTTTTTGCTCAATGATGAAGGCCTGATTGTGACTTAATAATGAAGAACATCAATATAAATGTTGTTGCTCTGATTATTTAAATTCTATCATCGACGTATAGGGATTTTCTGTCATGAATGTATACACCACACCATTAAAAAAAAAAAAAACACACACATCCAAACAAACTAGATCAGTACTTTGAGTATTTTTTCTTGTTTGAGATGTATAAATACCCTGCCACGTCTGGTCAGTGTTTTTATAAGATGTCTATCTGCTTTGTATAAATCTGATGAATTAAGCCCTGTCCAACCCATTTTTATAGTTTGTTCTGATGTTGTGCTGTAACACGACTGTCCAAGGTTAGGGGAGGGTTGAGCGCTCACAAACATGTTTAACCCCGCCACATTTTTTATGTGCCTGTCCGAAGTCAGGAGCCTGTAGGTTAGTGGTTGTCGTTGGTTTATGTCTGTCATATTTGTTTGTCGTAAATTGTTTAGTTATAAATTAGACCGCCAGTTTTCTCGATTAAATTGTTTTATATCAAACCACATCTCCTTATTTATATCAACAGAGAAGATCGTCAAAATATACATTATTTGTAATAAAAATTATATTAAGGATATACAAACCTTTATGGATATGTTACTTTCTTTTAATTATTCATATTATTTCTTAATATTGACATTTTACCTGAGCTCTGGTTGTCTGTTTCTCCTATGCCAGAGTCTGCAAGTAAAATACACGAAATTATAACAAAAAGATGAGCAAATCGAGGGACCAATCATAAATCACAAGTCGTGAGGAAATACTACTACGCCATTGAAAACAAGAACATAATCGATGAGACCAACACAAATTACCAAAACACAATTGAAAGCCAAAGATTGAGCAAACAATCCTCATCAAAGGCGGCACTGAACCCAAACACTCCGAATGACAAAGCAGTCTCTGCTTCATCTGTCGTGCTGTTCAAGGACAACTAAAGAACAAATTGTGATATGTTACATTTGGTGATGTAAAACCAAAGAAAACAAAACGAGCTAATGGATGAGAAGGTGAACATTTTCACATTTTTATTCTATGACGTAAGACAAATGATGATGAGGTCCAGAAAACATTGAAAATTAAACTTCAGCTTTACAATAAATCACACTTTGTTCAATATCTATCATGTAAGCAACAACCCATCATTACTCAACATTCGATCCATGAGCACTCAGTATCGATATAAAAGTCAATTATTCCATTTTTCTGTTATATCTTACGCCATGCGAATTTCTAAATGATGTCACCGAATATTTAAGTTTTAAAAAAGTGCAATATTGATTGATATATATATATATATATTTGTTTTGCATGCACACGTATAAAAATTGCGGTTTTTATCCAATGCAATCATAGGTTTGAACGTTGTTTCCAATTTAGACTTGTATATATATATATATATATATATAAGAACGAATAATCTTTCTTGAAAAATGTCTTTTATAATCCAACATTGCTTCTACATTTGATTGTGTCGATTATAATATCTATCATTGCGATTTAAGTCTTCTGTAAACAGATGTTTGTACTATAATGGCAGCAAATTTGTGGATAATATATTATCTTAACTTGCTGTCTGATTACAGAAATGAAAAGGTCTGCGGACGATGGACAACAAACGATTACAATATAAATGTATCATTTATTAAAGACTACTGCAATGTACTTGTCTTACCTTTCGAACGACAAACAGGTGTTGTAGTAGAATTATAGATTAGATCCTTTTGAAAATCCATGGGAATGTCTGTATAAATTATAGAATAAAACATATAAAAAGTCTGTAAATCTTTGAATAATACACACAAGTTAAAATATTAATTGAGTTTGTCATTGAAAACTTCACACGTAATACATTGAAACATTAAGTTACGAAGAAAGGTGAAAACCCGTTTCAGATGAATTATTCTTTCTCATTTCTGCATGCTTTTGGAATTTTTAGACAATTAAAAAGTCACACTTAATCATTAAACATGTCGTTATTAAACAATTGTTGCAGAAGGTATGCTGATTCAGTTTCAGGATTATTTAAAAAAATTTACTTATTATAGTATTAGATAATTGAGTTATTTCTTTTGCTGAATCAACAACGAGAAATGTCCAAGCCAAACTCTACGTAGGTTGAAAACGTGTGTAAACTAAACGTTTGTGCCAGGTACGAAATGACTTTACATAACTGGTTTGAGCTGTAAAACTGAAAAACGTTCATAATCGAAACACAATATTAGTCCCCAAGAAGATCGGTTAAGAAACTATAAATGCATAGATTAATTTATAAGTATTGCAAGTCAATTGCAAATTTGACAGACAAAAGTAAACCAGAATAGAAAGAAATGCATGTCTGTCAAATGACACATACAGAAAATATAAATATTCAGTTTAATTATATTCTTAAATACTGAATGACAGCCATACTTGACATGTATTGGTGTGTGTTATATCCTTTCAGTATGTTTACCTTGAGTACATTTGTAATGAAGTTTATCGCTGCAATTTTTGGTTCTCACCAATCCACCATTCATTGATAAAGATTTGCAATGTAAAATGTACTTCGCAATGTTGTTGAAGTTTTGAAGGACTACAAAACAAATAGAAGTAGTTTATCAAGACGCATGGATCAATAAATCGCTCATTAAAAGTTTGTATCGATATATTGTGATAATAACCTAACCAGTTGCAGAGTAAAATGTACAGTTCGAAATTTGTCGCCAAATTTAGTTTTTATATAACTAATGTAAGTACGCCGAGCTGTGTTCAATATATGGTTAATAGGTCATTGTTGACTACAAAGATGAAAACGGAAAATTAACAAATATATTGTAATACAGCATCCTTTAAATATGGCCAGAACTTTACCATTGGCTAAACATGCAAAAATATAATTCACAGGGAATTCAGTCCACTAGAAGTAGTACTGACGCAGTGGTAGTGAATACTGGACATTTAGAGTAGAGTAGAGTATATATTACTTTCAAGACGTATTTATGGAGTATCATTTTTGTATTGGTGTATTCAATGTCAAAGAGGGAAATACGATCAGAATTTAAGAACTGACTTTTTGTTAAGTAATACCCTTGAGTATTATAATAGTCAACCAGTAGTGGTGAACACATCACCTATTGAAAAAAAATGCATATTGAAAATTGAAGATTATCATAATAATTTATAGTGACTTCGTCAAATTTCTTTAATTATATTTTGTTTTATTTTTTTGCTTTAAAATTAATACATGATACAATATTTCTGCACAGTAATATAGAATTCTATATATAGCTATAGCCAGAAGGCCTTTCATCATAACTTTTGTACTTGTTCTTGCAAATCATATTTAAACATTCATGTTTTGCGAGTAAGTGACATGATTTCATCATAGAATCTTGAACGCGTCAGTGCTCTGTTTCTCATGATCTTTTACCTGTTTTATCTAAATTGTCCATGTCCAGTCTCTGTCTGTAAACACCAACCCAAATGCATATTCCTGGTCGAAAGGATTTTGATACATCACAGAGTTTAACTGGATTCCCAGAATGAAGTAGTGGATAAGTGAAATGTTCTTCCTCACAAGTAATGCGATATTTGGAGAACTGTAGATAATCATCATTTACAGCTCTTTGCCCATCCCCTAAATATTTTAAGGAAGAATGACATGTAGAAATATTTGCCTGTAGTAAGGAGATCTATTAAATGTGGTCAAATTTATAATTTAAAAAATCATGGTAATTCTATTTACATTTCGAGTGTACAATTGTCTTCGTAATAGAATAAAACATGAGGAGGAAAACGAAACAAATTAAAAGCGCAACATGATTCATTGGTAGACTGCAAACTAAAGTAAAACATCACAAGTTGTTTAGATAAAAGAGAAGGTCCGGTAAGGGCTAATTTTGGCCTAAAGTTTGAAGTACATCTGATGAAAGATTTTTGACATTTAAAAACAAATTGAGTGTTCTACTTCAGCATGTTCAGTCGATTCAATTAGTTTATGTAAAATATTTGGACTGATTTTGTCATTAAACACGCTCAAATTCAAGCTTAAATATAAAAAAAAAATCTATCAAATATGCCATAAAACATAACTTTTCAGATGGTTTTTGTTTAAAATATAAATGACCGTATTCGTGTTTAGTCTTAACCTTTATATTTGTTATTTTTAATCATCAAATACAACATATATTCAAATACTGAGATTGAACACAAGTGCTGCTACTTCCATTTTTGACAAAAACCTGATAGTACCTGATGCATGTGCATTGTATTGTCAAAAAACGGTCGATATTAATGTAACAAAAGTATTCTACTTTCCAAATATTGTAAATGTTAAACAAATTTGTAAAAATGCTTTATTTTGGGACCAAAAAGGGGTCTTACCGGGCCTACTCCATCCAGACCTATCTACAGTAGTCCCTTCAATGATGTTTGGACACTTTACCATCGATAAAATAAGATATATCAAGTTCTCTTTTAGAACATTCAATAACTTTTATGGGGATGTAGTCCCCAATAACAGTAAGAAAATGACGTCATATATAAAATTCCTAATAAAACGACCAACATCGGATACGTTTCCATTATTCAGTTACCAGAAATTCAGCTGGGAATTTTTTAACATAAAGGTTTGTTTATATAAATCTGCTGTTAATGGGATATTGTAAAATATTCTAAATGTTTGCTGACTTCGTCCCCTTTCACAGGTAACACCTGCCTCGTATTATTTATCTATACACAACAGGTTGTACTGTACATACTGAAAGATACAAGTTTTGGATAATCTGAATACAACATATCGGAAAAGTACTGAAGTTATTGTCAGCCAAAAAAAAATATTATAAGAAGTAGATAAATAAAACAAAATTGAAAATCTTACACACTCAACAAGACAACATTTTCTGTCACACATTTTACATAGCATTTCGACATACAATAGCCGTTCAGACTGAAAATGACTGTATAAAGAAACAAATAAGTAAGGACGGACAGATACTAACCCAACACAGAAAACTAAATAATAAATAGCACATATCAAACATGTCAAATATGTCTGATGGTTGTCATAAAATAGTAGCACATGTCGAAAAATTAAAATGTGTATACAAATTATACGTGCTATAGTTCTTCAGTGGCGGTCATTGAGCGGATAATTGTAAACAGTTATCTTTTATATAACGTTCGCTAAAAAATTTTTATATTAACTTAGTACTTTATGTCATTACACAGCTGCTAGTGCTAAGTAAAATGAAATGATTAACTGCATCATAGACCTAAACACATTTGGTCAGCAATAAGTGAAAATATCCGATTTTATATTTAAGTCACCGTGACATACAGATTTGAAGTAAATTTGTGTTCTTCAATTACAATTCTGAATGAAGATTGTTACTGAATTTGAAGTTCTTTTTTTTTAATTTGCTTTTCACGTATCGGTATTGGATATGTTTTAAAGCGAACCATATCATCCACCAACCATTTTAAGAGTTATATAGGCATTCTTAAATCAAGTGTTTTAGATAAAACCTTCTCCATAAGATTGTAAGCATTTGTCATCGCGTTTGTTGCTAAACTTTTCATATCGTTAATGACTGTAGCAGCCGTGCTTGATGACAGATATTCTTAAAGAGTTAGGAAATGTTTAATCAAACAAAAGTTGAGTTGGAACTGTTCCTTTATTTAACTTTCATATCTTTAGGAACGATTGTAGCTCAATCTGAAAATTACAGAAATTTGACTTTGCTCCGTTAAAAGTGATTGTCTCTCGCGAGAAATCATTAAGTACGCGTTAAGAGTTTAGATTATCTTGTATGCACATTTTCAATCAATCAATTATTCCAAGTGACATGTTGACATTCTAATTTCAAATTATTATCAAGAAACTATGATAGACACACTAATATCAATATTTAACCGTTATATTGAATACATGATTTAAAGACTCACATGCACGTTTTATATTGGTCGTCAAGATGTTCAACTAAACACCTTTCTAAATTTCTTATCGCCATTCTGTCTATGGGTGAAGATGGCCTTCATAAATGTTGTGATGAAGTATATTAAAACGGCAGTGTCAACCAGATACGGATTCTTTAAAATTCAAAGAATATTCTGCTAAATCTTCAATCAAATCTTTACTATATTGCATTAATATCAAAACTTTAGATTTTTCTACTTTCTTCACTACTATTCTTCATGCTCAATTGAAAAAAAAAAACGAATACGTCGCATCATTTAATAGAGCTTTTTGTACTAAATGGTGTTCGTAGATACACATTTCTTATTTAAAGTCATGAACAATCTTACCTCGTGAAGAACCGCACTGATTTCAAAAAGAAAAAAACACCGATGATGATTACATCAAATTTAAACATTTTGATCGACAACATACTTGTTTAGTTTGTTGGATTGATATATCAACACACAGTTGGTATTTTAATTGCTACTAATTGTGTACCCTTACGTGTGTTCGACTTGTTTTCGTACTTATATCAAGGAATATTCTCACCATACCTTCTCAAAGACAAAAGAAAAAGAAAAAACGTCTTGCAAAGTTCATTAATTTCACCATTAGATATATGGATGATGTGCAGTGAGTGCTTGCATCTCATATTCACAAGTAAACTTGAGATGAAGGATGTTACCGAAACTGGCAGCTCTGCTTCAGAACTTGATCTTTTCATCAATATTGACACAAATGTATGACTTTGAACTAAATTGTCTTATGTCGCTTACACATCTGAGTTTGAGCATTCATTGTTTCTTTCATTATGTAATATACTCACGACAATAAGGTAAGCAATATGCTGAACATCTGTTCTTATTAAATGTTGGATCTGCACCTTCAGAGTTGCATTCATACGAGAGGCAGTCATGGTGATATCCCCCTACACTAATTTGTCCATGAAAAACTAGAGATTTGAAAAAAATACATATATCAGGTTGTTATTTAAATAATCGTTTAAATGAATATGCATACATAATTTCCAACCTGTTTTTAAAAGATTCAAAATGAAAAGGTAGGAAGAAGAAAGTAACATCTGAAATTTCGGTATATTCCAAAGTATAATACACGCAAATACATTGTGTTGAATGCCTTCAAATAGCGGAAAGACGACGATCTTTACAACAAATGTACAATGCGTTTATGTTACATGTTTTGTTTTCAACGATGTTTATCTGTTACTGTGACAGTAATTGTATATCAGACATTGTATTGCAATAATGTAAACATGTTTTAGTGGTTTATACAATGAAGAAAGTATATTTTATATATGTATGGGTCAAGTTAACCTTTGACACGTCGACTAATTATTCCAATAGAAAATTATATCCGACGTTTACTGATACGCCTTTGTGTGGTATAATTTGAAGAGTTTTCCTTTAATATCTATCGCCTCTCCTTTTAAAATGATTAATCATACACTGACAGACTAGTTTAAATAAATACATATCAAGGCGGTTTGAGACGACGGACATTTAAGAAATTTATGAAATTCAATTTGCATCAGTAGTAAGTGTTATGATATTTTAACTTTTTTGGTTTTACTACTGTGGTTGTTGTGCGATTAAGTTACAGGCTACGAATAGAAACAAATTGAATAGGAAACGAAAAAATTGATGCCTTTTTGATATTCCTAGACTCATCCAAAAGTAAATGTTACGGTTTGAATGGTCATTTTTGCGCAAAAAATCTACGTATAAACACATTTCAATTACAAACTTTCTTACAATTCAAATTGCATGGCTAAATTAAATAGTATTTAATTGACGACAGTATCTTAAATTCAATATATCTTTAGAAAAGCTATTCAAAAAATTCAAATATAAAAAAAGTATTCAACGAGAGACCGAACAACACAATCATTCATAAATTGGCGTAGTGCATGAGTTGATAAACCGTGTTGTTCGGTCACGATCATATATTTTATAATACTTTTGGATATTTTAAGTATCGAATTACTTATTCGTTTTATTACATTTACAATGGACTACTAAACGGAAATAATTTAGAAAATGGAAGGCACAGTTACTATATCTTTTTTTAAGCATTCGCAATTGTTTTGATGAAACGCCGTCGACATCGTCTTGGCAACACCCATTGTTTTACAACGTCAGAGGAGTAAGCTTATCAGAATAATTTTACCTGTGAATTATCGGTTTTTACTTCACTGAGAAATCATAGTAATAATTTGTGTTATTTGTGTTGGAGAAGTTTAAGTGTCTTTGTTCTTCAACATATCTAAGCTTTCGTTAAGATTCGGTAGAAAAGACAAGCTCTAAAAACAAACCTTTGTATACAACAGCATATAAATCACAATCTCTTTGGTGTTTACATTCTTGACATAAATTTGCCTTGTCACTCTCTTGCTTCATTGCTTCATGTTCATCAAAACACACACATCTCTCATTCTGAAATATATATAAATCACAGTACATTTGCAGTTTTATAACTATAGATCTCTTTATCCGACAAGATGTCGAACTTTCCCGGCAGTTGTCAGAGTGTAATTAACACCTGCTGTGGTATTGCCTATGCAATACCTGCTGGAAGGTCGTAAGTCAATCTGTTATTCCTTGAAAATATTTTAAGGAGTAAGTTCGGAAAGGGCCATATATGGCCCCGACTATTAAGTTCAATGTTTCAAATTAAAACATGTTTTGAGTTGATTAAAAGACATGTGAGAAATATTGATAGAACTATTTTTGTCAAAGTTTTATTTCAAAACGGTAATATTTACATCCAAAATAGGTCAAAAATAGAGATTTTTGCAAAATTTGATTTAATCGGTCGGATTTCAACCCAATTTAGGCCTAGGGAACATAAAACGCAGGCGTCGAGAAACTAAATATTCAAGTTAGACATATTAAATATCATAACAAACATTTTTGTAAAAGATCTTTTTTGTCGACGTATGTACTCTATGTTTCCTGTCCTAACATCAATAGAAATTTCCCGTTTTCATTGATTTGTTCGTGGAAAATAAACATTAGTGCTATTGATGACATCATGAAAAGACTGCAAGTATGTACATTTTCAACAAAAAGACATATTGCCTATTTAGTCATTGTATTAGCTATGATTCATTGTAATATTGGTCAATAAATTTTAGCTAAAAAAAGGGCCATTTTAGGGCCTTATCGAACCTTCTCATTTCACTATAGAGATATTTTAGTATCCATAGTGGATAGATACATGTAAAGTAATGCATTGTCTTTAATGAAGAAAATTAAAATAATTTGATTAAAATCGCCATTCATTCTAATTCATATGTCTGTCGGAAATTGAAAAATACATAAAAAGCAAATATAACATGGTATGCTGATTATTAATAATATTTTCAAACAGTATAAACGACGCACGTTTGTGTTTAAGTTTCTTTATTTCTTTCCCCTTCATTTTCAAACTTTTGTTTTTTTAATTAACAGTTAAACTATGAGTTTAAATGTCCCTTTGTTATCTTTTGTCTCTCTTCTACGGTTATACGCTAGATATTGTAATATACAGTAATGTTTGGAAGAAGAACAAAACATAACGGTCAGTAAACAAGGACAATGATACATATTTTATGTTATTTGTATCTACACAATCAAGAATTGATAAAATAAGTCTCACTATACAAATCCCTAGACAAGTAAATACATTGTTCGTCTTTTGTCGTTTAAAAAGATATAATATTCTGATATGTTATATGCATCGATTAAACATAGCCCGCGAAGATGATCTGTCATAATACATATATTGTATGTCCAACAGATAGCCGTTCGATTAAACCTGACAGGAATTTATTGGAATCAAACTTTAATCTTTATATCTCAATATTTGTAAAACCGTGAACATGTTTTTATATGTTCTGTTACATAATTTTAAGATTTATTTATTTAACAAATTTGTTGTCAACCATGTACAAAATATTCATATCGATTTTTCTCACAGTTAGGATTTATATATTGTAACGCGTGATTACACATCGACATCATGATGTTATCTGACATTTGGAGAACGTGTTCAGTTGCAGAAATTCATGAATGAAATGCTTAATGCCACCATATATTCACAAACATGCAAGGCTAGAAAACATCTATGAGTGGTTTATTTATAGAAACGTGAAATTTGGCAATACGAATACCCGATTCGTGTCTTTCCGTGATCAACTGAACATATGAAAGCAACCTTATTTTGTATTTTATAAATTGTAAAAATATTGAAATAGATAAAACTAGCCCGATATCTCCCCTTATCATGCTAGTAAGAAAGTTTAACATGTTTAAAGATAACAAAATTATTGTTTAATTATCCTTATTAGGATATTTAAAATTAAACTTTGATATACATTTTGTAGGAAAGAAAAAAAATATACTAATTAACTAACAAGGGTTTGTTATATAACATGACAGTAGAAACTGTAAAGATAGAAAGACAAAAAAAGACTTCATTAGAAGCTATTGAAAAAAAACGTTGATAAATAACATAAACCTGTAAAAGGACAACAAAAGTATGAAAATTATTTTTGAATAAATAAATCAAATATTCTTTATTTCAAGTTCGATTGGATAGATGCAGTCAGGAATCTACTTCGTCAAAATTATCTACCCATTACGTCACCTTATGTTTTCAAACGTAGAAATGGAAGCCACAGTAGTTGCGCTGCCAATTTAGCTTTTGAAAACCGGTAAATTTATTCACATAGTATCATTATGATTCTTATATGGCAGTTGTATTTTAAAACACAAATGTATCTACTAGCTATCAAGCATTATTTAATGTACTTTTATGCCTTTAGTAAACTTTAAGTTATTGTCTTGTCGGTTGTCAGGGGGAATTTTTGAAAGTTCAAACACATTGAAAATTTTTGTTTGCAATATTTCGTGGAAGGGCAGACTAAAAAAGAGTTTGAAGACTAATTATCCTAGATAACACACACAAAAATTGAATTTTTGTGGAGTTATGCACAAAAAAGATCCACAGATAAAGTCTGTTGTCAAGTATATCTAGTAAAAATTTGATATTCAAACACACCTACTCTGTTGATGTTGTTATGACTTATTAGAAAGGTATGTCACTCATTTTGTTAGTACTGTGAGTTTTTAAAGTTTACAAATATCTCGAAGCTCAATACATATTTTAAAAGTCAAACACGTATATGAGATGCCTAAAATCCTAAACTATGCACCTACATTAAAATTTTAACATGTTTAAAGCCCATTAAAATAGAAGTAAACAATTCAAATATACCAACTTGGCTTTCTTTACCTTCTCTAATAAAGAGTTCCATTTCTTTTGTTTAATTTCAACTGGGTATCAGCCTTGATGCGTTCAACATAGTCACACACTTTGAATTATTTAGAGTGAGAAAAACCTTTTGTTTAGCGGAATGTACAGTTAAAGGATAATGTTAGCTTCTTTTCATTCCTTTGTAGAAGCTCCAGTATGAGGTTTGCTAAATATGAATACATCCACACAGTTGGTACCCACGAAAATGCCGATTGTTGGTTGTAAAACACGTCTTCCAAACGTAACGAATATTTTGTAAATCATAAAATCAAGCATATCGATGTCAGTTTTAGAAAAAAAAGTGTTTGAATAAGAGTATTTTTACAAAGTACGATATATCCCTCCTTAAGGCAAGATACCGTTATCTACAATGACTATTCTTTTTTTTTAAACCAAGTAAACAAAGCAGGACCAATTGTTTTCAATTTGTCTTCTATTTGAAATTGGGAATACTTGTGTAAGGGATAGAAACGGCAAATAGTTTAATACATTTGCAAGAGAAAAGAAATTTCGTTTGGATGTACTCTAACAGATATCTGGAAATGTGTAATGTACACATACATGTAGAGTACCACCCTGCAGTACATGGTAGGTCGTTTCACTAAAACTTCGATTTATACTAATAATATCGAAAGAGGTGTCGTGGAGCACTTGGATGTCCCAGAAATTTAATGTTTAATATAAGGACACTCCTGTACGTTGGATATCTAATACAGCGAAGAAAGATCTAGTTGTTCATCTTTGGTTGAAATTTCAAAGGAACATAGAACAGACTAATGAGTATTTAGAATGTTCTCCTTGGTAACTGTTCTACGGATCTATAGAGAAATTTAAGCTGATCCTTGCTAGGAGTTATAATCTATGACTGGTAATCTTACTTTTTGGTTAAAAGCAAAATATTGTCTTTTCATGCATTTAAGTTGACACAAGGCCGAATTTTTAGCAACCATCTCATCTCTTTCTAAGCTGTTACATGTAAGTGGTATACTATAACAACCTTCAATTAAAAGAAAAAGATTATAAACAAACACCAGACATATGGAAACGGCTTCTTCGCAGATGTGTTTCTTTGTAACACAACATTTTTTAGCAAACTGTGGCTGATTGGAACGTTTTTTTAATTACAACAGTTTCTTCAACACATTTCTTGATCAAATATAGAAAATAAAACTACAAATAATACAATAAACGATATCAATTTTACTGCATCATATAGGCATTTCGCCAAGTAATGTATATTCCGTTATGCTAGAATCACAATATAAGAAAAAAAAACCAAACGTTGAAGTTATGATCAACAAAACTATGACAAACAGTGATGCACGAAGGAGATATTTTCCTTAATTTTAAAATTTAATGTGACAAAAAGTTTGGCCTATTAAAATGTATTGTTAATATTTGTTTGTAGGACCGTTAATTCTGGGTATTATTATGGCAGCTAACCCAAGTAAACCTTCATTATTTTCTTTTATGAAATTTGTACAATATTTTTATATAAAAAATGTATGATAGTAGAATCATACATATTTACCCTTTATATAAAAATACTATAGACACAGATATATGTATAGCTAGATAGTTTTTATGAAAGAAAAAGGAGGGATTTTGTGTATTCATTCATGGCACAAAATCAACCTCAAGTGAATGAATTTTAGTCTGAAACCGTCATTGATCTGAACAGCTCTTTAAAGACTAAACAGTAAATTATTATTTCCATTTCAGCTTTTTGGTCTATATTTAGACTTGTCCACTGCGGTAAGATCAGTTCAGTCTATGTTCAGACTGTTCAATAGTTGTTATTTACCTGTACAGATCAACAACATACTGAATTGTATTAAAAGCTAATGAACATTACTGAATTGACTGCAAGCGAATGGTCTGTACAGTACTGAATTAAACGCAGTCAATTATAGTCAAATCTCGTTTCTACAGTCACCTGTCTCTTACGGTAACTTTTAAACCCTCCCAAACGTTTTCTCTATATAATTTAACTCTTTTCCGCAGTCACCTGTCTAACGCGGTCGGCGTTTACCTAATGTTTGGACGTAATCTTCATTTCAACTTTTAACAACGGTTATTTTCAAATTTTTAACTACCACAATATAATCATGACGAAAAATATATGTGTTCAGTATCGAGGTCAAAAGGAACATTCGAACCAGTTTGCAACTGAAATCGTGCAACAGAGGTTAATTTGTGAATTTCTCGTGTTCCGTTCTTTTCAGTTTTCATTGAAAACAGTATCATCGACTTATGTATCCACTATCTTTATTAACTATTTCGAATGTGTTCTTTCAAATTAAGAGCACCGGAATCCGCCATTTTTTATTTGTCAGCTCACACGAACGATTACTCTACCAATTGAAAACACTAAAACAATTTGCCCCTATCCCGGCCGCTTGCGATGTCGTAATCAGATTTTTGTTCTGAACCTCATTTAAAAGGTAGATGATGTTAAGATCAAAATAGCTAAAATTATTTTACTAGTAAATACATACTCTTGACAAAACATTATGCAAAGGACAAGGCTTTTTTAGGCAAAATTCTTTGTTTAATATAGACAATATATGCACTATAGGAAAAACAAACCAATCGTTTTCCTACTTAGTGATGACGTATATGTTTGCATTGTCCTGTAATTGGCCATGTTCAGACAAAACACATGCTAACTGTTACCCCCAAAACCTTAAATTACTACAGTTTACAAAATTGAATGAATGGTAACTGAGTAGTTGAAAATCGGTGTAATATAAAACAACCAAAAGCACTGGCAACAAGATATTTCACTTACCTCTTATTTCAATCCAAGGAAGTAAGGCTTCAAAACCGCCAACCCAAATACTGTCCACTCCAGTATGATTACTCAAGTACTTTTTGAGAACATTTACATTGCTTTCCAAAGAGTAGTTATACCCATAACAATCTAAAACCGCTTTTTTCCATGTGTTCCTTTTCGTTTGCAATCCAATTACTGGAATACATTTTAATATAAGAAAACAAGCATAAAATGTAAAAAAATAGGGACAATTACACCCTGTTGTCGAAGAAGGAATGACATCAACATGCAGCATATATAAGGACTTACAGAAAAAGATTTGATCACCAAATATTTTTAGACTAACAAACAATAACCCGACAAAAAGGTAATAACAATTACAAAAACATAAATTATTAGCAGCTTTTAATTACTTATAAACCTTACGGCATTCAGTACAAACGAGTAAAAAGCAACATATAGCATGTACATACGGCCATTCAAATATGAAACCAGTTATATTAAAAACAATCGAAGAAACGTTATGTATATAGGAACACAGGTCAACAATGATAGTGTTTGAATGAGTGAAATGTTTATTGGATTCTACTTCAACACTGTATATATTTAAATATGTAGTAAACAATTCCGTCATGACTCACCTTGTCCATATTTCCAGGAAAACAACAAACATGCAATCCACAGATAGGTGTGTTGTCGGATATTCATAATACGTCCTGTTTCATAAAGTGTCCTCTGTCATGCAAAAACTATCTGTTAGTTCCAACAAGTGAAGCAGTTTAGCTGGATTATGCCTGCGACTGTCAGAAGCGAGATGTTATACATTAAACAAGATGGTCAATTAAAAAGAGGACAAAACATTACAACGAAAGAGGGAACTTCAACTTTGAACTCCTTTGACTTAATATGGCAGAGAATTTTCGAAGTGGAATGCAAGAAATTGACTGTAAGGGTCAGTTATAAAGGCGAAGTGTACGTAATTGCACGACGCTAGCGGAATTTGGGCTCAAAAACGTGCGTCGTTAGTTACGCAATTTATCTCCCTTACTCCAAGAAAGGAAAAATAGGTACGCAACCGAAAAATTACTTCGTGTGGTTTATCATGAGTCCAAACAAATATGTCTGCGCTGTCTCAAAACTTCAAAGAAATGATCGGAATCACTCCAATCAGAAATCTGAATATTTTATTGTTAGCTTAATCTCTGTTACCGTTTCAGACTCATCACATAGGTTACATGTACTAAATAAAAATTGTGTTTATATTGTCAGAAAATGAAAATGCTTCAAACAAAAATTTTCACCCAATAAACAAACAAACCTGGGACAATTCTGCTTTTTGCTTGTACTATATTTGTTCAACTCCAACGGTAATGACCCCGCAAAATTTTTTTTTTTAAAAACCGTAGTTGTATATGAAATACATACATACAGTACTAGCAAAAAATTGTCGGTGAATGACATGATAATATGTGAGTGTGTGTGTTTATCAAGAAGGACGTTGGCATGTTCGTTTTTATATAGACATTAAGGTGAGTATTAAGTATATAAATGCAATTGAAAGTTTTAGCACATATTTCATATTTTTATAAAAAAGTATGAAGATACTAAGGTGGTAATCGAACAGTAATGCAACATATAAGTTACAAGTCGATGAACAAAGACGACAAAAAAGAACCATCAGAGTACGTCCTCAAAAAACAACATAGACAATTAAAATTGAGAACGAACAAGAACCTCAACCTGACATTTATCTTAGAATAAGTAAAAACTATGTTACTCAACTTCAGCACTGTATTCAAAATGCAAAAAAAAAAAATTCTATTCCATTCGCAATTTTTCGGAAAAGTTAGATCTAATTTTAGAATCATTGTTGAAACTGAAACTACACACTAACACGGTGGTGATAAAAAAAGAATATGACATTTCCTCTTTATCATTATAGGTAGGGAAAATTGTTTTAATGTGCTTTTGTGCATAATTCAGAAGTACATAAAGCGAATGAAAGTTTGAAGTAGATTCTTTTTGAGGATTATGAGTTTGAAGAAAAAATCTGACACTTGTTTGCTTCTAATCTGTTCTCAATTTAGAAACCAATTTTCTTTATTTCATAAACTCTACAATAATACTGTTAAATTTAACATATTATGCGCTATCGCCGATGTCAAAATACAACAAGCATTATAATTAATCCATCCGTTTTCATTATAGGAATAATTCATAAAGCACTACACTATATTAACTAGTATAACATTACACTACTATGAACAGTCTCCTTGCATTTACACTTAGTAAGTAGATCTTAAGGTAAGTCTATGTGTACCTCTCTTGAAGATGCATAAAATATGTGGCACGGGAAGTAAAACTATAATCGGTAGGTTCTATTTTGTTAAAGTTTTATTTGCGGGTTGCATGTGGAACAAATTTTGGTAATAAATAGTTTCATTTGTTACTGCAACTCAGTTCATTCAGCAAATATTGCATTGTGCTTTTCCATGCAGCTAAAGAAAAGAGCAAGCGACCGAGACAGGAAATTTGGTGAAAATAAATTGATGAGTTGTGTCACGTGCATGTGTGTGAACCAGTCAAAATGGGTTTAGATGTAAACTAGATTGCCAGCAATATCTCGAATTTGTAGCACCGGAAACGGTGAGGATTAAAAGATGCAGAACATGACTTTTGATTTTGTATATTGATTGAATATTATAACTAATTAAAACATGTAGGTTGGTTATTCCGTCAACGGGACAAAATAAAATCTCGATCAGTAACATCTAATATTTGATTCGTTAAAACAGCACAAAACAACCATTACAAAAACGGTATGGACAACTGTTTGATTTGGTAAAGATGAAATTATAATGATTGATATTGACGATTGGAAGCCGACAGTAACTTTCTTTCATACATTTATTATGCCGATTTGCCTTTTTTCGGCGGTAAAATTATCCATTAAAAAATTAGTTAGCTTATTTTCTAATTAATTGAACGTTATACGCTTTCAAATAAACATCAGTACTAAATAGCAGAACGGCTGATACACACTCGCACTTTTAATATGCCAAAGCACAGCAGTGTATTAGCGTTACTTATATATATATTGTATAGCGTAGAAGTTGTGCATGGCAACGTCAATGTAGATATCAATAACGTCGCCGAATTAATTTATTTTCCGCTGAAGATTAAACTTCCACAGGATATAGCTTGAAAACTAACCCGGTTGCTTGAACTTTCTTTAAATCAATCGTTCATTTTTGAAAAATATCTGTGGAATAGTAAAGTAAAATATCATGATCATGTAAAAAAATTCGTGCCAAATTTCATGCTTTTCCCCATATTGTCTATGCATTTTTGGCATATCATGTAGTTAATTTCAACAGCCCGTATCTCAAAAACGAAAACGATTAGCCCTTCTTTTTATTTTATTTCCTAGAGTATTTTTACAAGCAGAATCCATTTGTGAAATTTAGAAACATTCTGTGGAGTAGTTATTTACGTACACTTCGCCTTAAACACATTTTATAATGCCATTCCCATGGCCAATATAGACTTTCTATATCCATGTATTAAAATCCCAGCAGGTCCTGCATTTGGAGTCCATTTCCTCAACATATGCCAGTTTATACGACATTTGATGGCTGGTCTTTCCTATCCTGGTTTTGTTTATTGATCTACCGTTAATATCTTAAAAGAAGCTACACACAATGAACGAATGACTCTAAATGGAAGAAACAACCAAGATTTGCAATTGGTTTATGGAATGGGTGTGTCATATGTACTGTTGCTGACATACATGTTCTACTCGTCTTAGCAACGACCTCTTCGTCAATTGTGACATCAGCCTAAAAGACTCCTCTCCGTATCTTAACTTGAAATAAACAATATGATGCAAGCCAATAGAGGAGCACAAACTGCGTATCGTCCATAGTACGAGAGTTTACCTATGCTTTTGATGTACCAGATGCTCAATCTTTAAAGTCACATGAAACAATACCTATACATAACAATGTCGTTCTTACCTGTACATTTACATATTACTTCTTTTACTTCGTTACTTCTGTTGATAAAAAAAATTAAACTTCTTATTGCTAGTGAAAAGACTTTGTTTCAAAACAGCGAAAGTTCATAAATGGTCATTAAGCCTTATGGAATAATATAAAGGGACACATTAAATGAATGAATGAATTATAAAATTATAAAAATAAACCAGGATATAAAATCTTCCAAGCGAGAATAGGGTTAAACCTCATATAAGTGATTGAAATACTATCAGTTTTTATGTTTAAATCATTATAATAGATTTAACAGGATAGGACAAATATACGAAATGTATACACATTGTTAGAATCATGATGTATTTTGAAGGTTCATACCATGTTAAAGAAATTCGGAACTCTTTTCGCAGGCACGTATTTTCTATAATAAGCTTCGAGATAAATCATTTACTATGTTTACAATGTCAAATATTAAAGCAAACTGACAGAGATTAAAGAAAACAAATATATATCATATTGATCTATGCTTCGATAGAGATTATGATCTTATAGATTATATTTAAATTGGTCATATTAGTTTATTCAACATCGGTCATTTTAAACATCGTGTATTGGACAGGGTCAGCGGGCCTATGGGTATATTGATCTGCGATGTCATGAATATTAATTTTGACTGTTTTTAAATATCGAAAAATGGCATACAATGATAACATATTTCAAAATTAACAGAAAAGATCAGTATCATCATTATAGTCTCTGTTCATTCTTTTCTATTTAGTAAAGAGCAATTACGTTTTGATATTGAACGGTTTGTGTTGTTTGAATGTTACAGCGATACATACATATTGCAGAAAAAGACATTTCGTATCACATTAAAAAGAAACATCGGTTTGTATTATCTCGTCATCAGCTGTTCAGTATTTAATAACAAATAAGTCTCTTTGTGTCACTAGGGGTCAAATGGATGTTTATGGACCTTACATCATCTACATTGTTCACGTATCTATTATAATATTTCAACTATTTGTTCTTCATTGTACCATAGTTTTTATATTACGTCTCAAGCATCACTACTAAGACGTAAATTTTGTATGTGCGGATATTGCATTAACTATTATTAAATTAAATTGGCATCTTAAGTTGTACTTGATTATAAATCAATGAAAAAGCTAAAGAATTAATATACATCATATAGACTATATAATTTACCTTAAAGTAAGTTGATGGTGTACAGTTAAATTTCCTGGGATTGTTTGATCAGCTTATGAAAAGATCGAAGATTAGTAATAATCAGGAATTTCGTTAAACTCCTATTGCACTAAAACAATTACTTCCTCTACAAATGAAGAATTTTCGTTAATAATACTAGAATGATGGAAAATAAACAGTTACTACTTAAAATATTCGTGATAAACTGAACAGGAAGCATTAGTTTTTAACGGTTGCCTGACTACACATAAAAGACTATTAAAAAGTTATAGCACATTTGACGTATCGTTTACAATACATAATTGGAGATAGTTTCATCATTAAATATTTATTTGCCAATTTGTGAAGTTTTGATCACATAAAATTTAAATAAATACAAATCTCATGTAATGTAACACTTGTACAGATACAATGGACGTCATTCTGCTTATTGGTGATTGAATCCGTTGATCTACATTATATGAAGATACTCCGAAGAAGAGATCGTTGAGTGAGTGTAAGAGAGTTATTGGAAAGTGGAAAAAAATACAGACAAGGTTTATCGCAATTTGTTGTTCAGACATTTACAAAATGATTTAATATGGTTTTACAGAGAGAAATATATCTTCCTAAGGCAAAGCCCTGGTTCCTTGTCCGGTTTTGCTACCCTTTTGTTAATTTTTTTTGTAGTATTTGCAATTCAAAAAAAAGAAAGGGAAGATACAAAATGTGAAGTCAAAACCGACTTTGCCATGGCAAAAAACGAAAGACGAAAAACAGATAATTAAGTACTATAATAGTAAACAATACATACAAATAATAACTGAGCAACAACAATGTAGAACTTAAAGCAGATTCTTATCCACCAGTGACACCGTCACGTTGTTCATGGTTAGTATAAATCCAGTGATAAGTCTCGTTCAGTGATGTCGCTGTATCATATTTCGGATGTTCAACATCTTGGCTTCTGGCAACACTGACGTTTATAATATAAGTGCGCATCTAGTACTATAATAGTGAAATTTGTACCGATTAATGCTTTTTTTTTTCTTTAAATTTTGTTTAATTTTCTCGTATTCATACGGCTTTTTTTTTTTTTTTAAACGATAATAAATATTTTTATTCAATCATTTCCTGATATATAAATACCTAAGTAGCCCAGGTCGCATACTTAAGGACCCCTGTATTTTTAACAGCCTCACTTGACCAGGGAAAAAATCAAATGAGTTTAAACTCCCATAGTTTTACATACATATATTTAAATAACCAACACAATAGATTTTACTTGTTAAGCATCACTGTAATACATAATTATTATTGTATATCCGGTTCACTGACTACCATGTGTTGATTTAAACTTGAAAACTATATATTTTGATTAAGAAAAATGAGAGTTATAATATAATTGGAAATTATTGATGTGTTTAAACAAAAAAATTAAACTATTCTGTAATATACGTATAGATTATAAAAGGATAAAGCACACTTGGTAAGTACTAATGTAGTTATAACCATGATATATGTGGTAATTTACTAATATATATAATATTCACAGGCATAGATTCAAATATCGATTACAGTAAAAATATTAGTTTAAATTTCTTTCTGTAAAAATAACATATGGTTCACTAAGTTCTTCCTACGATACAATAAGATTTTTATATATGGAATCGAACACACCTTTAGTTTAGAACAGTAGAACTAAGTATATCTTCTTATATTTTTTTCGATAAAGAGTTCAACTTTTGCTCTACATATATACTTGATATCCGAGCGAAGCAAGAGTAGTTTTAATTCGTTTTTCATGTGCAATGTCAGCAAAGCCTGTGTAGACTGCATATTCAGTTTAATTTTATCAAATTTGCATTTATTACGTATTTTCCAAAAAGCCCATTTAAAATAAAGTATTACTGGGTAAACAATTGTATTATTCGAATTATCTGCACAGATTCCTAATAAAATATCTTTTTCAACGAGTGACTCGTTATTTATTAAGTTACAAAGTTGAAACTTTCTGACAACTGTTTCTATCAATGGTTTAACATTGTTACATTGATAAAATAAATGCTCAAGAGTTTCAATATTATTATTTTCATCACATAAGTGACATTTTCTGTTTGACATATGCATTATTTGCAGTCTGTTTTCAGTATATATAATCCTGGAAATACATTTCCATTGAAATTGTTTAACTTTTTTATTAATATACATTTTACTGAGATTTAGCCAAATATTTTCCCAATTTATGTACTCGCTATACAAATTTTCCCATTTTGTTTGACACTTAGGGGTCTCAGTTATGTTTATGTTTAGCTGAAGATATTTGAATGTCAAATCTTTAATTTTAATGATTTTATTATCTGGATTTAGAAATTCAAAGTTTTCAGAAATTTTGATTTTGTGGCTTTTTACAGAGCGTTGAACACCTTTTTTAAAATCTGCATGAATGTTTGTGATATGGAACTTTTAATTCGCGAGTATTCCGAAATACAATTACGTTTATCTATTAGATGTTGATATATTTCATTGCACGATTTAAAATCTTTGTTATTATTGTCCTATATCACCAATTGTTTTTATTCGACTTTTTGAAAAAGAAGAATAAAATAATGATTTGCTCTGAAATAAAGTATTTGAGTTTCAAAATAATCACTGTTTCTTTACATCCATTTCGTTAAACATACCCTGTGTGATCCCTGTCAACTTTGACCACGATTGTAAAGCGCTTTTCGTAAAATGTGGTAGGGTTTTGATATCAAGACCTGAAAGGTCAGAACATCTACACAGAAAAAGTTTATCGGCAAATCTCTTATCATTTTTTTTTTAACAAAATTTACCTATTACATTCCAATTAGAAAATGGCTTGTGTAATATCGAATATAACGATTTGATATATTTACTTTCTATCCAACTATCCAAATTTACCATCCTCATGCCCCCTTTTTAACATCTAAACAACAAACCTTACGGTCTACTTGATTTACTTTACCATCCCAAATAAAACCTTATATTATCTTGTTCAAATCTTTTTTGTATTTTTCATGTACACCTCTTATTTCTAACTCATAACCACAAACTGAAATAATTAAATCTTCAACAATAAGGACTTTTCCAGAGTATGTCAATTTTCTACTTTTCCAGACGGGTACACAATTTTGTACCTTTTCTAATATTGATTTTCAAATTTTGTCATTATCAATGTTAAAACCATGGTGAATACCTAGGTTTTTTTTTTACATATTTGTTGAATTTGGAGGTAGACTTTTTCAACAAATTAGTGGCGGATTTACCGGGGGTACAGGGGGCACGTGCCTCCTCAGTCGGGGTCACAAAAAATTTTCTAACGTAGTTTTATTGCTACTGTATCTGCTTATCAAGATATCTAGATCGAAAATTAAGACACAGTTTGATTTGACTTCCTAAACTGGTCGTTAATTAACCCCAGCTTCAACATGCGTGATTTATGACAACTTATCGATGGGTGTGGAAATATTGACACCTTTGTGTAATGTCTGTATCCAAAAGCTTTTTATGTAAACTACATGTACTTGCTGATTGGAATTAATACGAATATATTTATTGGTTTCTAATACAATATTACAGGATCAAGATCGATTAACAAGTGAAATATTGATCAGGAAAGAAATTACCAAATAAAGTCGTCTTAAAAGAATATAGATATTTAGTGTCAAGAATGTTAGTATCGTTATGAGAAACGTCTTTATTACCAAACACTCACATTGTATTCGGTTTCTGGGGAATGTGTCTTTCTCAGAACAATGTTATTCGAAATATATTAAAGAACAAACATTTTTTTTCAATGCATACAGCATTTTTTTTTTTTAAACTGAATGTCGTGTTTCTGTTCCCCTTA